CCCCAAAACCCCAAAACCCCAAAACCCCAAAACCCCTCACGCTGGGTTATAAATTGGTAGGTGCAGAAATCACTATTATAAAAATTGTTTCATAATGTTCACAAATCTTAACTTAAAACCACTCAATATTTCGCCTTCATTCTCGAGGTTGCTGACTCAAAAGCAGACAAAGCCTTCTATGAAGTTGACTGATGATCTAGTTTCTCCTTATGAACAAGGCAAAGAAGAGAGTTCATGAAGTTATCTTCCACAAAAGGCAGTGTTTCGTATCAAGAAATCTTACGAAAGCGAAGAAAATAATGTAGGCTTGACCAATTTCTAGTTATCTAAAGCTTAATTTAGACCCTCACGAATGATACTTCTTCCACAAAATCTGATAAAGATACACATAGTACATCAGGACTTTTCTCAAAATTCCATAAAGATCTTACCTCTTTGGGAAACATGCTTAAGAGGAGAGAATCCGTGCTCTGCACGAAGGTAGGTCTATCTGCCAAGGTTTTGTTCAAATTAGCAAATTAAGCCAATTTCGGCTTGATGCGTCCATTTCCGATCGGTTAGAAATTTGTCTTCCAGCCAATCGATTCAAAGAATTTCCAATCAAGTTCGTTGTACTAACTTCTCTTAGGGAAATCTGATGTCAAGGAATCGTTCATCAATGTCTCCTCTCAGAAATAATGGAACGAAGTATTCTATAAGTGGCCTTGAGAGGTACTACTCTAAAGTCCAGGAGAAGATCAAGATCACTCTTGACTCCAAAGATCATAGGAAGAGCACATGTTTTAGTTCTTGTGGGGTTTCAAGCACGAAAACCACCTCTTCTACCCAGAACTTACCGAGTAAGTCCTTGCTATAGTCTTCACAGTCTTGTTAGAGTCATAATTTTTAGCTTGTCTTAGTTTAGCATGGACGTTTCTAAAGCCGGTATAGGAGATAAATGCCCATATGACCAACGAAGATACCTCAAAAACGCAAGTACTATTAATTAAAGTTTCACAGATTATCCGAAATCAGAAAGAAATTCAGTCAAAAAATAATGAGCAAATCAAAATTTGTAGATCCAAGAAGACCTCAACCCCTGTATGTCAAGATGAGGCAAGCAGGTACAGACAAAAGAACTTCAACTATAACTTCATAAAGAAGAACAAGCTCTGTCAGATTGGGAAAGTACTTGTATCTCGTGCTAGATCTGAGGAAAAATCCTTCGAAAAGAAGCCTCCGCTGCCAAGAAAGAAGATTTCGATAAAAATTGATCTTAGCTACATGAAGATTGAGGATACACCTGCTCCAGAGTCAGAGTTCCGGTTCCCTGAGATAGACAATGAGCATAACTCTGGTGATAGGGATGGTAGAAACAGTACATTTTATCTCTCAAATTGCAATTTTTAACAAACCTAACTTGTAACATAATTCATGGCCCAGGTTTCTAATTTCTGATAAATTATTATCTCAAATGAATGTCCGGCCTTCTGTTCACTTTCAATTCGTGAATTATGACCTGGGGTTTTGGGGTTTTGGGGTTTTGGGGTTTTGGGG